CTGGGATGGGGTGAATTTTGGTTGATTTTTGCTTTTTTCTGTGAGGGGTGAGGTGGGGGGAGGGGTTGAACTAGTACATGTAACATCCAAACCGTGACTTCACACAAAAAGTCTTTTTTTGGATTGCTGGTGTCGAGACATAAAGGAAGAAACCAATCTACGACTATAATCATTTCCATTAACAATAACAAAAACACGCACGGAACGATCTCAGTCGTAGACATAAATCCAAAGGAATCTCTCGAAACAAACAATTCAACAAACCTGCTGAACAAACCAAAGCGTTACAAGCTACCAGCTTTGTGTCGCACAATTTCCCTTTAATTTAACCAAACGCTGTTTACAAATAATTGAAATCCAACGACAGACATGCATTTTGAATGACATACAATTAATTATTTCTGGCTTTGGGGTAACTTAGACGTTGTTTGTTTTTCGCCCTCAGGAACATCAAGAGGTGGGCGTAAGAATTAAAGCTTACTGGTGTGTGAAATCGTTTTCTGGTAAAATTCAACACATCGCCTACGAGCTCTTCATGTTGGTGCTCATGTTTATCTTACCGATGGGCGTCATGATCTGCACCTATGTCATCATTTGTGTCAAGGTTTGGCGCTTCACGGACATGCGCGCAGACATGCGTAGTGGGAGGTGAGCCTTGTTCGTATTGCTTTGTTTCTCGTACCTCTCTCTTTTTTTCTCTTTTTTTTGAGGATTCTTTAGTTGTTGTATTGGTTTGGTATTAGATGATCGTGTTTCTGTTGAGACTTCTTTGACGAAGGTGTTTTTGACGCGGTCGTCGTTGTTGTTTTCGTTCATTTTGTTATTGCTGTTGTTGTCGTTGATATCGTTGCTGTTGTTATTGATGTTGCTTTTGTTGTTCCTGTTGTTGTTTTTGTTGTTTTTGTCGTTGTTTTTGTTATTGTTGTTGTTGTTGTTGTTGTAGTCGTTGTTGTTGTTGTTGTTATTGTTGTTGTTGTTATCGTTGTTGTTGTTGTTGGTGCTTCTGTTGTCTACTGCTGTATACGGATGTATAATGATAATAGATAGGCTATAATTTAATATTGTGCAGTGCAAATTCTGGTTCAACAGCAAGCTCTGTGCGCATTACAATCTATACACTGAAGGCGCACACTACAATTTCGATTTCAGAAAAGGGGAGCGGGGAAAAGGGAGGGGGGATTAATGGCTTTGCACTTTTATTTGCGTTGCGTTTGTGTCTGTCTCTCTTTCCCTCTCTCTCCCTCTCT